AGCTAAAGCCAGTTCCCCAAAACTAGATCAACATCAGTTTACTCTTTCTAACCCTTGATGCTGTATTAATAGAGGTCAATGTTAGCCTTCCCAGGTAGACCAGACAGGAAACATGACCAGATGTGCTAATTCTACTTTATTGTAAGGCTACATTAACAGAATTTTGCAAGTCTGAAAGTCCAAATCTCCCACCGCCTTTTTTACACCCTGATAAGTTAGGGGGGATCCTTTCTAAGTTTCTTTCTCTTTCTGTTACACAGCTGCGGGCTATGCCCCCTCTTATCTGATCGTTCCCTAGGCAGCATCTCTTCCCCCCACCATCTTCTAAGATAATTCCCACATACCATTACAGCCAATGACTCAGCTAGAGAAGGAAATTAAAAGGTTCAAAGAAGATAACTTTATTTGGAATGAAATGAAATACAAAAGCAGTAAGGGTGATTAAGGTTTGTTGAAAGTCTGATAGTCCCTATTTAAAGCATGGGAGAGATTTTTCTCTCTAACTCTATGGAATGTTTTACTAAAGCGCCCAGTCATTACCTTTTAAACTATTATCCTCCCCAGTTATACTCACTGATCAAACAAAAGATAGGAGTTATAGAGGAATGTTGTAGAATATGTTAAAAACACAGGATCAGAGAATCAAAATTGGAAGAGGTTGTTTAGGCTAGCATGTCCTCTCTGCTCAGTGCACAAATCTAAATTAACACATCCTTGACAGGTAGCTGTCCAGCTTCTACTTAAACATGTTCAGTATGAGTATCTCACCACTTTCCTCAGTAATTAGGTCTACTGATAACTGTTCTTATCTTTATGAAGTTCTTCCTAATATTCTAAAAGAATCTGCCTTCTGTAACTAAACACATTCTGTATCCTGTACTCTAGATGACAAGAGAACAGATCTTCTGATATTCCCCCACCTCTCCCCCTCCCTTTTCTCATAGGCAGTTTTTTGTCTTTTATTCTTACTTCAAATCAGTTCTTTCATTGAATGTACAACTATGGAACCAGCTGTTTCATATCAGGGCCCCATTTCACTGCCCCCCCTTTTTTTTTTGCTAAAATCCGATAGCCACTTACTCTTTAGTTTTCTAGGACATCCTTTCATCGAATGAAAACATGTCTATGGATCTTGGATTTTGCCTTACGGCCATTATGCGCAAAATGATTCTACTGGTACATCTTGCGCATAACATGATCTTTTCTTCAAATGAATAGCATTTACATTAAAGTCAGTAGAGAAGGTCTTCTTAAAGATAGCCTCATTTTCCAAATCTGTTTAACAGACATATAGCAAAGGGTATTCTGTGTTATTCCCAAGCTATGGAATGTGCTCCCTTTGATTCAGTCTCCAATCTTTCTACTTTCTAGAAAGGAATCAAGGCTTCCCTCCTCTTGAATTAATTGATATGCTTTTATCAGATTTTAATTACCTATGTTTTTCTAAAATTATAAGCTGCACTGAATGCACTCTGGGCAGGCAAGATATAAATTGAATGAAGAATAACAATGACAACAACAGTAAATACTGTAACACAGTTCTTAACTAAAAACTCACCCATGACATGCAGAGAATAATACACATATTTTACAGATCTACAGTCATTAGTTTTAAATGCCTACTAGAATTTCCTCATCCTGGATGGGAACTACAGCTTTTTATACTGAGCTGACTCACTATATAAGCTGGGCTACTTACCAAATTGGTTAGGATCACTTTCAGTGGCAGAAAATGTCTTGATGTATCTAGCAAAATTCCTCGATATGCAAATCTTGGAAAGTCAGTTATGTCAGACTCATTAACAAAGTACTGTTGAAACAAACAAGAGTGTACGTGCACGTGAGAAGTATAGCAGATAAACCTGATTTTTGTGGTAAGATAATTTTCTTCAGGTGTTAAACTTTACTTTTCAGCATATGGAAGGTACCAAATATCTTGTAATGCACACTCATCGATATGAAATATTTATGTATTTATGTAAATAAAATTACTGCTATTACTACTGTTTGCAAATGCTATACTTTATTACCTGCCAATTAAACATTAATGTATATATTATATTCAAATATAAACACTACTTGGTGTAAACTTCAGTCATAAAATATTGACATAGACTTCCAACGATTATAGCAAATAAATATTTTGTAATTGTGCCTTCTCATTATTTTTGACTCTATACCCTGCCTTCCTCAAGGGTAGTACCCAACATTTTTTCTGGACTTAACTCCCATTATAGCTGAGCTAACATGGCCACTGCCTATGAAACTGTGAGAGTTATACAAACAATCAGCCAAATAAGTAATTCCCAGTTTAGTCCTGCTAGAGCAAAAGTAATAAATAATAGACTTAACAGAGTTGCAGCAGAAGGACTATATGAAGCCAGTGCAGATTCTGCAGTATTGCTTTAAAGTATTAAAAAATATTGCTTTCAATAAACAAATGTATGTTAGATTATAACCTCTCAAAACAATCTCAGATCACAGAATAGCAAAATTGGGAAGTGCTAATATCATTTGCTAAAGCCAAACCTGAAGAAAATGATGTACCATCCAGAAGAATACTCACACGTCCAGTATCATCTTCATGTAATAGCTGGCTGAAAGTTTCCAAACCTGGAAAGATAGAGAGATGGAACTTTAATCCTTAGCTGGTAAAAAAACATTGTCTTGAAGGAAGAATCATTTTGGATATTCTGAAGAGATGATGAATAAATAGCGTGTCTTGTTCCTAAATTTCTAAACTTCTTTCAAAGAGGGAAAATGGAGAAGCATACAATTCACATGGGACTTATTTGTTCTTATTTGGGTCACAGCCTGCATCTTACTGCAGGGTGTATGAACTTTCTTTTTGAAAAGGTTGAGAAATGGGGGACGAGGAGGCACAAGTCCCTTATACTTCCTGTCTCATCTTTTCCTCTGAATATCTGCAGCAACAGCGAAGCCAACCCAGTGGTAAGTGTAGGCTATTATACATTATCTTAATACAAGCAGAAGCAGAAGTTGATTCATCCATTTCATTTTGCAACCTAAATTAGATTTGCATGTTTCTAAATTGATTACTGTATGGACCCCATCACAGACAGGTTACAACAGTCTACCCTCAGCTTTTAATATGATCTATATTAAGATATCAGCTCACTGTTTGGGAGAAGAGTCAATATACTATAAATTTTAAAATAATATAGAGATGGACTATATGCGATACTGGAATTTGGGTCACCTCATAAAGCTAATTTATAATAGATTTAGGAGAGACAAAAAGTGCTTTTTAACACACTGTATAGTTTGCAACATTCGTTGCCACAAACTGTGCTGACACTGTCAAGAGATGGTTTTCAAAACAGAGTAGACATTTGTATTTTTGTATTATAAAATGACAACTCAGAAAGCTGCACAAATGGAAGGAAGAAGAGGATCATTAGGCCAACTGGCAGAAA